AACCCCGCTGGCCAGGTAGCTGTCGGCGGAGGGAGCATTCGAGGACTCCGAAGCCAAGCGACGAAGGGCACTGGAGAAAGAGCGCAGCTGCTGCGGTCGCCACGGAGAAGGCGCCTTGGCCAATCTGAGACTCGAAGCCGTCGAGTGAGCCGCGGTCTGGGAGGAGAACGGGCGCAGAGCGAGGGCCGATCGACGGGATTCAGCCAAGCATCTCTGACGCAGGAGGGCGGACGTAGCCTGCCCGCAACGAGCGGCGAGAACCATTGCGCGCTGCGCTGATGGAAGCGAAAATTAAGGTGTGAGGGGGGGGGGGGGTAAGGGAAGGGATGTGCGATGAGTCAATTGAGAGGAATACACTCTCAATTGCTGGTCTGGATATTCCGAACAAGGACAAACCTGGAGACTCCGCTTTTTTTATCCGGATCTCCTTGGGGTTGGTAGTGTCCCGCTTTCTGCCACACGCCCAAGTCACAAGGGGAGGACTCAAAGGGAGGGTAGATGTCCCGACAAAATTGTCTAGGGAGGGAGAGAGAGGAGCAGATGAGAAGACAAAGAAACAAGGAGAGGAAGAGAAGGGATGAAGCGGAGGAGTCGAAAGAAAAAGGTTCAGTCGGGAAAGGCGATGAGTCAATGCGGCACTTCTCCTCTGAAGGAGGGAGTCATGAACCAGCGCCAATTGCAGTGGAGAGTCCCGAATGAGTCGACCACAATTCCCGAAAGTACAAAAAACTCCCCCAACATTCAGGGCCGATAAGAGCTCCGGTGTGCGGAGCCCTTTTTTTTTTTTTCCTCCTTCTGTGTTAGAGGCAAGGAAACCAGCCACTGGAACGCTGGCCGATCTCGCCTTCTAAGTGGCCAATGACCTCACCGCTCCCATCACTAACCAATCAGTAAGTACGAGGGTCGGCAACAGGAGTTACGCCTACGGGGAGGTGCAGCGACGCAGATGGTCGATGGGTCTTGACCCCATTAGTGCCATAGTCTAACCGCCTACTAAAAAGCCACTAGCAGCCGGACTGCCCAGACTGGAGCACAGGAGCCTGCGGTTAGCAATACCGATCACTAATATCCTGGTGTGCTGATAATGTTGTCCAGGGGTTAGTTGCACTTCTGGATCTCGATCCCTGGTGAGACAATTGAATGGTTCGCAGTCATTGGAGCTCATTGGAGCTCATTGGAGCAAGCCTTGGTTCCTATAGGATAATAATTATTCAATCAGTATTAGACATCACTTAGTCTACTTGTCCTACAGCCGCCAGCTGGTCTAACCCATCAGCCGCGCGTTAGGGGTAAATCCTACCAGCAAGTTTTGCAAGTCTAATGCTAGACTAGTAAGCGTGGTCGTCCTAGCAGATCAATGCTCTTCTGGTCTCCGCTTGCCGGCTAGATAGGGCTCGCTTGCACGCTAAAAAAAAAAAGTATGGCCAACTATGCCAAGGAACGAGGACTCATCTAAGCTTGAAGTACCGGCATTCGGAGGTTATCCACGTCTCGGGGTCAACCTACATACACTCACACTTTCCCGCCTGCTCGATTGATCCTAGGTCATACTATTTCCACAGTCACTGACTTCCACAATCGCACTGCGACTGTCCACCCTCTGATTAGATATAGCCGTCACTCCCCGATACCTATAGTGCCATCGAGACCAGCCCATGGACCCTTGGGTTGTGCTTCACGCTGTTCTAATTTGGTTCGAGATCTAGTCATCCGTCCTTCCGATGCACAAACATCGCCATTATCTTGTTTTCCCTTTTGATCATCTCGCATGGTACTCTCATCATTCTGATTGAGCATTCGAGCAACCGCCTCTAGTTCCTGCTTAGCATTCTGAACTGATTCATATCCCTCGGCCAGCTTCTGTTCCACAAATTCATGCTCGCTGATTCCTGCTTCGTCGGATGCAAATGCCCATGCTTCAGCCAAAGAAATGACTTCGTCCTTGTTGGTGGGCTCAGCGAAGTTGTTGGCATGACGCAAGGATGCAGTCGCTGCTGCGCGATTCGAACGCGGCTGATTCGCGGGCATTGGAAATTCGGGAAGAAGGTGGCTTTCGTCTCTCAGGCGATGAAGCACGCGGAGGCTTGTAGCTTTCTCCTTGCCAAGTAGGCCGGATAAGTAGAACTTCTGTAAGGCAATTGCCCGTTGGCTTTTCGAAAGCGGGAGGAGATTTTTCTCCGTGTAGGAAAGCACATCCATTGGATTCAACGATTGCGGCTCCGGTGACGCATCGTTTTTCTGAGTGATACTCGTAGGGCGATTTGAAAGGGGCAAAGAAGGTACTGTAAGAGGCTGACATGCTCTAGAGGCAGCATCTAGCAGGGCCTTGCGGGCCTCGACGTACTCGGCATATTGCTGTGCCACTTCCGCTTTCTGCTCCTCAAATAGGCGCGTAGATTCCTCGAAGTCTTCGGGGGCCAGATCCAGCCTGGATCCACTGTCTTCGTGACTGCCAGCACTGACCAATTTCTCCTCCACCCAATGAATCAGTTCATCACGTGTTCGTTGCAGGGCGGCCTTTCTAGCAGCTGGCGTGATGTTAGCTGACAGAGATCCTTCGTCAAAGTTTGTTTGTGCTTTTGATTCCTCCAGTAGCTCTTTTTCCCTGTCAAACTGGGCTTTCGCTCGAATAACTGCCTTCTCCAGTCTGTGCATCAACTCCTCAACTCTATCCCCTGCATTGGATGCTGGTTGATTTATTCGTTCCAGCAGCTCTGGTGGCACTCCCAGCTTTTTGTAGCTATCTTCAAGACTCTCGGTTCGTCTTCGGTTTCGTTCCTTAAGCTCCTGTGAGTAGCGTTGGAACACTTGCAGCTTTGCAAGTTGGCGACGCTCACGGAGGAGCTTGACATATTCGCTTAGGTCCTGAGAAGGATCGCATTGCGGTGCTTCGGTTGCTCTCTGTTGTTGTTGCAACTCGTATGCATTTTGCTTCTCTACAGCTGCCTGGTATTGCCTTCTTGCAGCAACGTTGGCTTGTAAGGCTTCCAAGTATTGCCTCCGTAGTCCAGTAATCTCCGGTGGGATGGGCTCCACGCCGATAACTGCATCATGAGGCACAGAAAGGTTGAGGTGCGAATTGGCATTGAGTTCGGGGTAATCAGGGTCATTCTCAGCGAAGATGATGTGCGAGCGAACATAGGCAGTCAAGGCTTGGCGGATACGGAAGGCCTCCTGGCGGCTTTTGAGGTAAGGCGCAAGTGGTGCGGCGAATTCAGGAATAGGCTCACTTGGGAGTGGTGCGCAAAGGTCTTCCATTTGGGTTCAGGCGTGTGAGAGAGTGAGAAGAAGGTAGAGACACTATATGCTGCTAGTGGTCAGCTATCGTGTGGATTGTTTGTGGAGAGCTGGGACCGAGGGATCGGGGACGCACTGGAGCTGTGCCCGCTTTTTGTAATCGGCCCGATACAGTGCCGCACCACCGCACCACCGCTTATTTGCGATCATGGGACAGCCCAGGCTCCCCTCCCCATGGACCGAAGCGTGGCCCTGACGGCCCCGCAATGTTTACAGGGAAAACACAACACTACATGTCAACGCTGCAGAAAGCAAGTTCATCATGAATTACGAGACATAGCCTTCAAGGCATGCAACGATTGGGTGAACGACCTCTTTGCAAACATTCCCCAACCTACGGTCAATGACGTCCACGCTTCGAGTCACAGATTTGTTGGGGTCTCAAGTATTATATATTAAGTAGGCAGAGGGAGTTGACGGAGAGAAAGTCGAAAATGAGGGGGGGGGGGTTTATACTCTACCGAATTTCCCGATGTGGGAAGAACCGGCCGCCCTACCCAGCGGCATCCATCTCTCAAGTACTGCAGCACGAAAAAACCATGTGCTATGCCCGTCTCCAGACCTGAGGCTCTTTGCTACTACTATCATGGATGGCATCTCGCCCTAGGGCAGCTTCTACTACTCGTGCGTCCTTTGGCCTCCGACCATTACAGCTGCGACTTTTCATGCATGCCAATCACGACCAAAAATAAAAAAAATAAAAATTAAGTACCATACCAGATTCCGCATGCATGAGGAGCTGCACTCATGAACGGACTCTTGGGGGGTTCCTCTAGCATAAATTCAGCCAGACTACTTAAGGTATTAGTCCCTAGCCTACCAAACGGTAACTTATGCCACGGTAGGTACTGTACAAACTAATGTACTGTACGTATAGATTCTGCTCGCCAAACGCGCTTCAACCTAGCCAACTGAGACTTTTATTGCTACTAGTCCCACCTAGTCGTGTTCGTGAGAGGGGGTTTTCCCCCCCGTTATCGTCATAATACTGGCAGCAAGAATGGGTGATGTGACAGCACAGACTGGGTGCCTTAAGTGGGCCTCGGGTCTGTTAGTCGAACCAGGTATGCATGTGGGGGTGGCCGGGGGACCTTTTGTGGATGTGAAGTATCCAGGACCCATTCAGCTTTCTTAGAACAAGTGACATGCAAAAGAGCAGTATACAGCACTGTAACAATCAAGCAGTTGGATACACGCGATGTTCAAGGTCTATGATTATAGACAAATAACAGGCTTGTGTGGTGGTGCATTGCGTGGACACCCGGCCAGGATCGATGACCATTGGATGATGATAGAAATTGATCCATGTCCATACAACCACCGCTGATCAATAGCGATCCTAGTCCGATTTATTCTACCTTTCTTTCTAAAGTACTGTACGGTACTGCTATGTCGGACAATATACCGTATAGTTTTGGAGATGTCAAACGATGAACAAGAAAAAATCAACAATGGAACCATGCTTTGAACCAGTTAAGCGGCATCAGACAGGTTCCATGCAATCCGAGTAACTCGTCTTGTCCAGCTCAGCTGAAAGGGCTCTGGTTGCAAATCAACGGTGGTCTGGGGTGTGGAATGTTTCAAAGGTCCAATCAAGGGGCTGCTCTCCTGCAGGTTGGCACTTTTGGCCAAAGCAATCAATCTAAACAAGTGAATCGTTGTCCGCCGCTACCTACCAATTTAACATATTTACTTCTCTTTCTCCTCATCGCACTCCACCCATCAACAGACTCCCAGAACACTATCCAGGTTCCCTTTTTTCTGTCTGCTTTTCTGTCTTCCTATCTTTCTTTTAATTCTTGACTTGTCTTCCATTAAGGTTTCTTTCGTATCGCTCATTCTACATCAATTCAAGCCTCTCAGATCATGACCACAGACTCAAGCTCCGCCGCTATATCTACGCCCAGATCCCGGCCCCGTGCTGCGACGACGGTGCAACCAGCTCCCACCCTCCACTCGTCCCTTTCTTCCCGACGCTCCTCACAAGTCATGGCCCCTCTTACGCTCTCGCCCACTCTCAACGCCTCAGCAGCAAGCCCGATGCCGGGCGCTGGGGAACAAGACTCACGGGCAGCCGCAGTGTCTGGTAAGTCGGTATACCCAAACAAAGAAAAGTCAATTGTCAAAGACCGCAAATTGAACGAAAGGCAGGCCCATTGCGTCATCCCAAGCCGCTGACCCCATCCGATATCCACTCAATGTTGGAGCAAGAGCAAGAAGCAATGGTATGATGGCTGTGCATCTTGTGCAAATCCACTAGATACTGACCCCGCCTGGTGACCATAGGTTAACCGGCTATCGAGAGAGCTCTCCCTTCTTCGCCAACAAACAGCCTCGGTCGCATCGACCACATCATCAACATCGACTACACTCAACGATCCCATGGACTCGCTGCACGCCTCCCAGTACATCATCAACTCCACGGTTCCGACGACTTCGCGCAGACATCGCTCCTCCTCCAGCCTCAGTTCCTCCTACATCCCCGCGGTTCAAGGGTCACGGACGGGCAGCGGGTTCGGAATCGCACCGTCGAGAGAGACACAGCTACCGTCAACCCGCACGGACTCGGCGCGCTCGGGGAGGAGTCGAGAGTCGTCGCTCACTTCTCGACAATCGGACGCAGCACTGTCGCAGCATCACTTTCCATCTACCGACCAGCTTTCACCCTCCATAGGGGGGTTCCCGCACCGGAACTCGCTCAATCAGCAGAAGAGCCCTGTTATTCCAGCCTCTCGCCACGAGGAGCTCCTCGCCCAGCGGGAAGAAGTAGATTTGCTGAAGCGGGAGAATGAGAGTCTGCGCCGACGTGTGCGGGAACTGGAGCTGATAGTTCGAAATTCTCGAGAACAGGAGCGTGCTATAGACCACGACACTCAGAATTCAGCGCGCTCCGACGGAGAACAGGGGAGGGAGGCACTAAAGCTTGAAGATTGAAGGGACTCATTTGTGGTGGTATGGCTCGTTCTTCCGATGTTGAAGTTTGCAAGAACCGTGTTCTTCATTGGTCTTGCCAGGTGCTCAATCATCAACCTGAACCAATAGATTATTCTTTCTTCGGCGTACCAGATTTTGGGGCTTGGAATTCTAGTCTCTTCCTCATTTTTCCTTGCTTGCTGTAGGTCAAGTCTCACAGGAATTGGGGTAGGCATAAATTGTACCGCCGGTACTCAAAGTAGCCCACTGCATTAAATTCTATCTTCCAGGATGGATCCGCAGCCATTGAACTTGAATTTGATTGGTCAGGGGCCCGCTACTTTGTTTCTATGGGCTAAGTCAATTGCTATCCATGGAGGGATGTCTGTCATCCGGCTGCGAGGCATTCAGTGCGGAACTCCCAACGTACCAGCCTGGAGGCCTCGGTGTCCTGCCATTGATCTTCCCAAGAGTCAAAGACAGCCGCCACGAGGCGAGATTCTTCAGCACCAGCGGCGGGCTAGCCATTGATTCCCCAGCTATCCAGGTCCATCCCCTGGTTGCTCCTTTCATGAAAGAAAAAAAGACCCAATTCTAAATGCAACCTACGCTGCCAACCTTCTATCCTTCCTTGGTAGTTTTGAGGCCTGTACTACTCTAGAAATCTTGATCAATGTCTCCGTCGGGAGATTGACCCATATAGTGGGATGATGATATACAGGACATCAGGCTCCGAGCTTCGCAGCGGTGTCTGACCCGGGATCTGCGTCCGGGATCTTATATGAATCTCTATCAAGAGATTGAGATCAAGGCTGATAGGTCCTCTTACTTATCAAAGGACTGTACCCCAAGGGACTGCCTAACAGGCCACGCGGGTGTTGAGAAGCTTTGATATGGATGTTTCTAGGTGATACTCGAGTATTAAGTAGACATGCAAGATGGGCTGTTATTTGGACTTCCGATTTTCTTGTTTGAGGTGGATGCGGATCAAAGGGTTCCGCATCTGATAGAGAATGCTTCGGCTTATCTCAACATATCTAAATAGACTTGTTGTGAGATAATAAGAGCGGAGTCTGCTGAAAGGGAAAAGCTTATGTCTGTCTTGATATGATTTACGTAAGTCTCTATCAGAAGCGTTGATGCACCAAGATAGTGTTTCTTGACTGATTCAGATGTGTGAGGGTAAGCTGATCCCTAGGACTGGGGCAATTACCCACCGGTTGAGTTGTAGAGAATACTTAAACAAGCTCCTGCGGTCTCCCAGCTAAACCCATCGTCACTACTTCTACAAGATATTTTCTCAAACTTGCAACTCTCTAAATGAAATTCCATCTGAGTCTAGTCGCCTTGACAACATTGGCCGCCTGTTCCACCGCGCTGCCAAATGGTAGGGTTCGTCATCGAAGAAGCCTGAGTGAACAGGCCAGTCTTCTGACCACGATCACGCCCAGTAACCAGACTGTGGCGGAGATTGTTGCGGGCTGGGACCTCGAGAACCTGACTGTGGCGGCGGTGCGTGTCCCACCGGTCAACTGGCCCCTTCCCATGATGAATAAGGACTGGGATGGGGTCAAACTTGACCTGAACGGCACCGTCGAGCTGGGGGTCCGCCTGATCCAACAGGCGGCTGCGGCGAATGCCCGTGTCATTCACTTCCCGGAGGTTTGGTTCCCGGGTTATCCTAAGGTTAGTTGAGATCGGAATCAGTCTGCAATTGTCTTCTCGGATCGGTAGGGCTGACGCTTCCTCAGGGTATTATCAACTCCGATGTCCCGAACCCCTGGTTCGAATACCACGTCAAAGATTATATCGAGAACTCCTTGGTGGTTGGTAGCGACAACTGGAACAAATTGGTGCAGGCGGCGGTTGATAATCGCATCTATGTTGTAAGCTTTCCACTTAACGTATCTCCGCTCCCATACTAGGTTGCGATGCCAACTGACCCTGACCCCCTTTGCATTTTGATAGGGACTTTCGTTCTCCGAGAAAGATGCCGCCCATCTGTACATGGCGCAGTCCCTGATCGCCCCCGATGGCGAAATCCTCATCCACCGACACAAGCTGCGGCCCTCGGCCCAGGAGCGCGACCTCTGGACGGACGGCAAACTCGACCAGATCTACGCGGTCAGCACCCCAATCGGCCGCATCGGCATGCTCTCGTGCGGCGAGCATACTGCTCCCGAGGTCACCTTTATCATGCAGTCGCAGACGGAAGACATCCATCTCGGCTCGTGGCCGTAAGTCTCTCATATCTTAATTGTCCATCCACCTTTGTTGGACCCATCTGTTGACTTTTTTTGTGGGGAAGTCTCGTTCCCGACTTCGGCAATTCCAGCCTGACCTACGAGTCGGCTGAGGTCATCACGTCCCTGGGCCGGGTTTATGCCATTCTCGGGGAAGCGATTGTGGTGCAGGCGGCCGTTGGTACAGCCACAGTCTTCCCTGCAGGGTCTTCGGCAGTCTGGTCCCAGGCCGTGGCCAACGTTTCCTTCGCCGACCACCCGCTGGTCTACCGCTCGTTCAACGCCAGTGCATTTACGAATACAACTTATAACGCCGATGGGGAGGTCTCGTGGGGCACCCTGCAGGCGATCAATGAGGGGTTCCCTGAGTATATTCCGCAGGTGGAAGGCACATTGGTGCCCTGGCGCCAGGACCTCATCTCCACCCTGCTCAATGAGTCTGTCGTTTGATGGTTCAAGCTTCGCGAGTGATGGGTCACGCCTTATGCAATGTATCATGATGGAGAGGAAAGGTGCGGGTTGTTCTGTCATTTGAGTGTAGACATTAGCTTTATAGGCTCTAATACAATTATAAGAGAGCATCTCCATGGACAAGAAGCGGCTTCCTTACAAGGAAGTCCTACAATCGTAGAATAACCCCCCCCCCCCCCCCAAATGCTTCGAATGTGGACAATGGACCCCCCTACAAGGCATGGCTCAGATGCATAGGCAGCGCCCAAACCACTGACCACCGATACGCAATCTGCCGGAGAGCATCCATCGCCCGGTGTGCCTTGAGCGGCCAGCTCTCCTGCATCTCTTCCAACGCTACTAAACATTCTTTAAGGTCGTTGCAAGGTCTGCGTCCCGCCCCCTGCTTCACAGCCGCCGTGGCCTGTGAGAGGAACATGATTCCTGCGGTGAGCAAATGCTGTATGAGAAATGGCGGGGCCTGTCTGAAATCTCCGATCCGCCGATGGTGCAAGCGAACCAACTGAGCGAAAGCCTTGGCGGGCTCTCGTACGCTCTGGGTGGCCATTTGCGCATTGATACTTTCTTGGCCTCGCACTTCTTGTTGTTCTTCGTCAGCTTGTCGAAGGAACGGACGGTGAATCAGCAGGCTCGAGTTATAGTAAGACATGTGCAGATAAATCACACTGCGGGAGGGGAAGGAGGAATTCTCGGGCCCCGCTAGCGGCAGATGCAGTCTTGCATCAAGACGATCATAGAAAGAGATGAGAGCCGCGTGAGCGTTTGCAAGCAGTTGGGATCTGCGAGAAGCATTATTTTCCTGGGGTTGAAAAGTGTATCTGAGTAAATGGTGTCGAGACGGTTAGACCTATCGAGCCCGGTGAACTGGAAGAAAAGAGTGGCCTGCTGACGTACATTTGATCCATATGGATATCATGGAGATGCCAAAGTTCGCACTGATAGGCAAAAGCAATCTCCTCGATTGAGGCGTTGTCACGCAGAAAGCCACTGTACACCGGCGATCCCACCCGCCCCCACGCAAGGTTGCAGTGTCTCCCTAGGTCTGTAGTCGCCATTCTGCGCAAACGTGCACGAGAGATATTAGCCTTGGCGAAGCCCATGCAGAAATGCCCTTCTGCTACTCAACTGCATGTCTTTTCCCGGTTTCGACAAGAGAAAGATCAAATGAACCCCAGACCATGGCTGAACTTACCGTTCGACAAGGAAATAAGACCAAAAGACTTTTAGGCTGATCGGTCTCCGGGTGAAAGACTCCGTCACGCGACGGTTATCGCTTGGTTCAGCAAGGAACAGTACGTGGAGACCCAAGTGAACTGCAAGTGCAGCCGCCATAGCTTTGACCAAGAGACGATTAAGACATCCATCCTTATAGACATATTTGACAGGATAGAGCCTTGCTTACAGATATACATCCACCCCATATTCTCCTGGCCTAAACTGAGCTCCCGCCATGCCAGCACCGACAAGCTGAGGACGGTGAGCTCCCGTGGGCGAGACGCGCACTGCACGACAGCGGCACGCTGGGCCAAGTCTGCTAGTTTATTTCCAATCGCCTGTCCTTCGGCAACCGGACTGTAACATGATCCCGCTATACAGGCCGCGTGGCGGTAGAATTGAATGTCTTCCTCGTTGCAGAGGTTTCCCATCTGCCGTAGCTCTCGGGGGTCGAGAAACCCGTAGTACGACGCAACGTGTTGCATGAAGTACTCAATCAATTGATCCTCGACGGCGTCATCGGTGAAATCGCACAGCGTGGGTTCAGTCTCACAGCTGGTGTGGGATAAATCCGGCTCTCTTGCCAAAGGGGCATCAACGGTGAGTCCGGGGAAGCTAATCCCGCCTGAAGGGCCTAGGAAAGATGGCTCTCCTTTCGTCCCGATTGTGAGTTTCCATGTCATGCATGTAAGTTCATCAATAGCCGATTGTGTACCCAGAGCAGAAGACGTCGGAGCATCTTCTGCTACTTTGTCCCATGTACTGGATGCGGTGTCTGTAGCTACCTCGTCCATGCCTCCTCGATCGGGACCTTCAGGGACTGCAGCAGTTGCCCTACCACCGTGTCGCGCAGAAGTTGCTGCTGTCAAGGCATCGATCTTTACTCTCAATTCTGTATTTTCACGTACGAGAGACTCCACATATTCCTTGTCGACAAAGATACGTCTGGCCGAGCCAAAGTCCATTGTTAGCTTCCAAAATACACTCAACCTGGAATGAACCCCACTCGTAGATATCATGTCCTTACTTCCTCCGTGCTGGTCGTTCAGAGTAGTAGCACTCTCTGTCGAGTCTCAAACAGAGACTACATGCGGGTTGCGCTCCATCGCACTATCTCCTCGCCCACGGGGCTCCGCATCAGAATTGATTGTGCCGGCCATTGAAGCCTCAGGGTGAATGGGAGAACCTTTCGCTTGCCTTTTTTGCAAGACTCGCAAGCCTGAGCCACGCGCCGGCTTTCGATAAGACCAGAGTTAACCTCCATGAGATTATGAGGTATACGGTAGTATAACATGAGAGGTGTCGTATAGTGAAGTTGTTTCTTTACCTCTGAATGGTCAGATGTGCTTACGGTATCATTGCCAAGCTAGCGACGAATTGGGTACGGAATAACTTTTCTCCTTTGTTCCGAATTTTACAGAGTATAGCGTATCGATTTAAAGATTGTCCTGATGAAAGATAACCTAGTTGAGGAGATACCGACAATACTTAATCAGGTGAGTATTTCGAACTACCTAGCTCAGTTTTACATAGTGTCACAATTCACAAGTAAATGATTATGAATGTGTGTATGGATTATGGAACCTGTACCTAGCTACTACCTATATATAGGAGAAGAAATAGGAGAGAAAGATTGTTTCACATGCGGGTCCAGCGTGGCTGTGCGGGGTCGCTGCCTGCTGCTGCCCCTCGCGCGACGTCATTTGTGGCGTAGTGCCGCCCGCTCTTCCCCCGAAATAAATAACCACCAGCTCCTCCTCTCTCCTTTCCAGTCCCCATCAACACTACACTGACTCTTTTTCATCACTCGACTGAGATTCTACCTGATCAGATATCCTCTTCATTCTACGTACCTCTACTTCAACCACATCCATCATGTCTGAGCGCTCTACTGTTCACGTCGAGGGCATCGCCCCCGCTACTACCGATAAGGAGGTCCAAGACTTCTTTAGCTTCTGGTCAGTGACGCAGGCATCTCAGGCCCTTGCATAAGACATGCAGCTGACAACATTGCAGTGGAAAGATCACTTCCATTTCCGTTACCCCTGTGTCTGGTGAAGAGGGTGCTCAGAAGTCGGCCACTGTGACCTTCGAGAAGGAAGCGTAAGCCTTGCCCCGCACCCGCTCCCCCATCCCGCCCATGGCTCATATTGCACCATCCCTTAGCCTTAGCTCTTCCTTCCCCCCCCACCCCCTCTCATGACATAACTAACCCGTCATCTAGTGCCGCAAAGACTGCCCTGCTCCTTGACCACACCCAATTGGGCACCTCGGTCGTTCACGTCAAGGCCGCCCACTCTCTTGATGATATCGCCGGTGACCACGCTGCCAGCGCCTCCGAGGCCAAGGATGAGCACGACCATGATCTCGAGCAGGAGGACAAGCCTCGCTCCCGTATCGCCGCCGAGTACCTGGCCCAGGGATACGTGCTGAGCGATACCGCCATCCAGAAGGCCATCGCCCTGGACCAGAAGCACGGCTTCACCTCCCGCTTCACCAACGCCCTGGCCAACTTCGACAAGAAGTACAACGCGACCGACAAGGCCAAGGGTTTGGACGAGAACTACAAGATCAGCGAGAAGGCGAGCTCTGGCTGGCGCGGTCTCCACAGCTACTTCGAGAAGGCCCTCGAGACCCCCTCCGGCCGCAAGCTCCGGGACTTCTATGCCCAGACCGACAAGCAGGTCCGTGACATCCACAACGAGGCTCGCAGACTGGCGGACTTGAAGAGCGGCAAGAGCGAGGGTGACGAGCACAACGTCAGTGCCGCCCCTACCGCTGGCGCCGGCGCCGAGGGTGTGGGTGCCGCCCCTGCTACTGCTGCGGCTCAGTCCTCCGGCACTGCCCCTTCTGCCGACCAGAAGGCATGAATCTGAAAAGATCTTACGAGGTCCAACCCTTTTCTCTGTTTCTCGCTCTGTACGCCTAATGACGACCTGTTCATTCACCTGCTTGAATTTGCACGTTCTCGATGTTCATAATATTATCTCGGCGCGCGTCTTAGCTAGTTAGTTGTCTGGAACAAGCGATTGTGTGTATTGTTTACATCTAATTGAATTACGGTGTTCTAACCTTGACACTTCTACTTCCCTTTCCGACCAGCACGTAGAACATCAGCCTGAAACATTATCAAATAATTATTTCCTGTTACATGAATAATCATTATAAAAGTGAATTAATCCGTAGCAAATACTGAAAACAAGTACAACGGTTCGCACTTTATAATAATTACTACATTTATTTACGATATCACCATATCTCACTGTACCCCACCACCGAGACACGTAGAAATAAACTCAACTACATCACATATAGAGGCTACGATCAAATACTACACAACATAAAACTCATTCCAAGAGGAAAGTATTCATTTCATTTCTCGCTTCAAATCATTAAGTTTAACAGGAAAAAAATTGTGTTTCGTGACAGAACATAGATCCTCAGCCCAATTCAGCTGCCCTTGCTGAACTTCGCAGCCTCGATGTCCTCCAAGGGATGCTTGGGGTTGCTTGACAGCGACGACTTGGTGTTCTCGGACTGCTCCTGGGAGGCCTGGCCGGGGCGGGTCTCGTAGGTCTGGCCGGTCTGGCCCTGGGACGGGGGCGATTGCTGCTGCGCGCCGGTCTGGGACTCGGGAGGCGGGGACTGGCGGCCGGAGTTGGGGGCGGACATTTTGGTGGATTTAGTATGTGTGTTTAGGAGGAGAGTTTGGGGTCTGAGTATTCCGAGGAATTGTTAGTTTAAAGGTTTTTCTGTGATTCTGAAGGGAGATGGGGATGGAGATGAGCGGTACGGACCTGGTGTGGTTGGTAGTGAGTTGAATTCTTTCAGAGACTCAGGGTGTGTAAGTGGTTTTTTTGCAAGTGAGATCAAGGTTGTGGATTGGGTGGTAGAAATTCCTTAAGTACAAGTGCTCGCTAGGCTAAGGGAGATATGATATCGTTGATGAGGGGGGTGGTAAAAGGTGGGTGGCCGGTTTTTCTCAGCCGGCATCATCATGACGTTTTCGGGGGGCTCTTCCTCTCTGATGTTTGCGGTGGGGGGCAATCCACCCTCTAGGTAATTTTGTGGGTTTGTTGAGGAGGTCCAATGTGCTATGGAAGTTAGTGGGCAGGAGGACAGTACTCCTAGCTCCGGTTCGTTTATAGTTGGGTTCACCGGCGAGCGTGGCTTTGCTGCACCTTTACTACTCAGTAAATCGGTTATGTCTGTTGTTGTTGCTGAGTAGTGATGTCATAGTCGAGTGGGTGGGGTTTGCTATGTTTGTCCCAAGCACGTGATTGGGAGCTGCGCGAAAAAGTAGATGGTTTGTAGCTAATGCCAACTATCATTACGATTGGACAGGCATAATTAAAGACGGACTTACGGCAATCGCCATATGCTGAGCACTTTATGTATCAAAATATATTGAGAATTAGGCGATGCCCAAATCAGCATCTTCGCGGGATCCTATTATCTTTTGGGTTCTGTTTGACTGTAGTTGTCCTCCATAGATGGAGACTGGATATAAGAATGCATTTTGAGGTCGTGACCGACGTAATCATAAGTCAATTGACAAGGATTAATCTGGGGGAATCGGACATCGGAGACTCGGGTCATAAATGAGGTCAAGACCGATGAAAAAGGGGGCTTTTAGGGGAACCAGAGGAAATCAAATACAGGTCATTGTAACCTTGAACACGCAGGGGGTGGAAAGGGATATGATCTAGGCAACAAAGGAAAGGAGAATCAAAAGACAATCAGAAGAGGCATATATGGCGTGGTGACGTATCCAGCTGAGGCCGTCCGACTGTATTGGATGTCGAAGTGACCCGGAAGAAACATAGATGGCTTGTCAAAACAGTCCTCCAACCTGGGATGGCACTTTTCTTTTGCATGAGTTTGTTTTCTTTTTTCTAAGTCATGTCATCGCCTTGGTAATCCAGAGATACCGACTGGTTCATTTCGTCAGTCCCCGGAGTAGATTGCAGTATGAATCAGTTTCCATTAGCCTGGGCGCCTGCAGCTTCGGCATTTGCTGCAGCCAACGCCTTCGCATCGGCTTCGTGGAAAACGGCTTGGAGTACCTGCTGCTCCTCCGCGCTCAGGATCTTTGTCAAGTTGTCGTAGAGTTGCGGCTGTTCTTGCTGAAGGCCTGTGTTGAAGTTAGTCAATAGTACAGCGTGACACCAAGGGGCTACATACTCATGAACACATGCTTGAACATGGCGTAAGGCTCAACCTTGTCGAGAGGAGTCTCCAGCAAGCTTTCTTCGTCCAACTCATCATCGTCATCATCGGCAAATGAGCCGAACTTTTGAGCCTATTGATGTGATTAGTATCCTCTTCGAGATATTGAGACGACAAAGGACTCAAGTCTCCTGGACTCACCTCCTTGTTCAAGAAGTCGAGGTAAGCAGTGGTCTCGTCGGCAACGTCATCTTCCACAACGCCCTCGGCTTCGTCCCGCTCAGTCCACTCAACCTCACCATCCCAGTCGTTATCCTCATCATCGACATCATCTTCGTCATCATATGTGAAATCGGACTCCTTGGTAGCATCTTCACGGTCTAGATGGGTATTAGCGTACTTGGTCTCTCGCCATGTCTTTGTTGCAGACTTACTCTTAATAGCAGCGGGCAGGGTTTGGAAGAGTCGAGTCACTCCTTGGAGAAGTCTAGGCCAACCTTGTTGAACGCTAGTCGGGACATCGCCGGCCTTCAGGGTCAATAGGGAGCTGATTGCCGCAATTGACAGCTTCTTGTCATGCACACGTCTGAAGTTGTCGATGTTGGAGAACCATGTGCTGAAGAACTTGTTCGTCCAGCCATTGGCTTCCAGCACCTGTAAGCTGAGGACAGGGTTGTAGTAGATAGCGTTGATAACCATCTCCATCAAGTGGATGCGGTAGGACTTAGTGCGCGCCTCGCCGGCGTCAATGACACGCATCGCGAGCTCAATAAAGACAGGGATGTACTGGTCAATGTAGCCACGGAGGTTGAGCATCAGAGTCTCGGCGAGCTTGCACCCGCAGATCCGGTCAACACCGCCCACCTTCTCATCGTGGAAGATATCCTGAACCATACCCACAACGGCCGCCAGGTAAGCGGGATTCTGAACCAACATCTGAGAGCCATAGGCGATATAGTTGTCGAGAGCAGGGAGCATGTCCTCAAGATAAAGCTCAGCCCCGGCCTTGAAGGTCTTGTGGATGAGCTCGAAGGCCTGCCACATGGTGGGAGAAATCGACTTAGAAGCAAAAGTACAGCTATCAATGATCTCAAAAACTTCGTTGTACAAGTCATAA